TAAACTCCTACTGTATATTTTGTAGAATTGCTTTATTATTTGTCTCCAAAATCTCTCTGTTTGAGTTTACTTGTGTGAAAAAGAGAAGTGGCTTCCTGCCGTTGGTGTTCCTGGAGGCTGTAGTTTTTAGCTATTGTCTGTGAATTGGGATAAAGCATTGGTCACAATCCAGGGAGAAGGTCCTGGGCTGTGGGACACCAGACCCAATTATTACCACCCAGAGTATCCTAGGATACCAGTGGGTGAGACGTCTGTCAGGTCAGGCTTGTAACAGGCAGTCTTAAAAATCTCTAAGAGACCCCCTCAGAACTCTCCTCTAATACCCAGTCACCACCTGCTCTATTGCAGCATACCTGTCTTAGGTAGTACAGGTGAGATCCCAAACATCTGTTGAATCATTGGGAACCTTCTATTAGTATTCTTGAAATTGACTATGTAGGTTATATACTGTGCCATTTTATATAAGAGATTTGAGCATCCATGGATTTTAGTATCCACAGGGGCTCTGGAACCACCCCTGTGAATAGAGGGACAACTGTGGTAGGACCCTAAACAATGCCTCCTACCTTGACTCTGGGCTTGGCTATGATTTGCTTTGGCCAATAAGATAATAACATATGTGACACAGGAAAAGATTTAAAATGCCCTTGGATACTGGGCCTCAACCCTCTCTTGCTACTCTTGGGACCCCTGGCATGACAGCCATGTGATGAATCCTCTGGAATAGCCTGGTGGATGATGAGAGAAATGTGGTTTAGTCACCTCAGTCACTGCAGCCAACAGCCGGCCAACACTCTCAAGCAGTTACCAAACCACCTACAGACAAATGAGTGCATCCAGGGGAGACCGGCAGAACAATCATTGGCTGAGCTCAACTCAGAATCATAAGCTTAATAAATAAATGTTTTAAGTCACTAAGTTTGGGGATGATTTGTTACATAGAAAACACTAACTGACACATGTCACTTTATTATTTCATGGAATGGAGGAAAAAGTAAACCACAGAACAGTTATTGTATATATGATAACATTTTTAATCAGTCATTAGTTTCTTTATTTGTAGAAAAAAATGGAATAAAAAGCACCATAGCAATACTGTAAGTATGCTTATGAGAAAAAAAAATCTTTGTTTTCATAGAGTCACAAAACACCACATTAACCACTAAAGCCCTCCCCTAAAATCCTCCATTGGCATCTTAAACAACAGTGGAAGAGCAAGAGCAGCCACAACATGTCCTGCCTTCTTCCCCTCAGAGCATGTGCGGGAATAATTTCTTGGTCTGGAGGTCAACCAGAATGTCTCCTTAAGTGCCCAAAAAAGTAGTCTAGTTTTTAAATAACTTGCTATTCCATCAATGCAGCTGGAAAGTACCTTTTCTGCCCAAGGTATAAATGCCAACATGCTGCATCTTACTATTACAATCGAAAGTCAGGGCTGGGGGTGTGCCTCAAGTGGTAGAGTGCCTGCCCAGCAAGCATAAGGTCCTGAGTTCAAACCCAGTATCACCACCACCAAAAAAAGAAAAGCAAAAAGAAAAAATCAAAAGCTACTAAAAATATTAATATAGAGTAAGTATTATTACTAAATATTCCTACATTTGATCTTAGTCTAAAGGCCAAGAGGCAATTTTATTACAAAACATTCCTGATGCTTTATTATTAAAAGGAATGTTTCTGGAGGCTACCACTGCCATTCCTGGATCAGAGCAAAGAAATTGGGCAGTAGAGTTCATATCCTCAGATGCCTCACCTGTCAAAACCTTGGGCCTATCAGGATGGACAAGCCACCACCTCCTACAATAATGTAAGAGAATGGCTCTGGGTAGATGTCAGGTCTCTGGAGAGTTTCAAATTCCAAACCAACTGGCTGAGGTGTTGTCTGAAAAACTGTTGCAATAAATTAGAGTCAGAAATGCATTGCCAAAAATGTGGGCTCAGACATACTATGAATAAAAACAAATTGCATTTAAATATTAACTGAGTTTATTTTCAAGCTCAATCAGAAATCCATACAAGTGTTAAAAAGAAAGGGGAATCAAATTTGAAGCAGCAGGAGGGAAGGTGACTGAGCCTAAGAAGACATGCTGATCACCTGTCATTTCTCACTGACCTTGACATAGTGTGTTATTCAAGGAAAGCCTATGGATATGCCAAAAGGAGGAACTGGAATCAAGCCCCCATGAGTGAGAAAGGAATGGTGGACTCATTCAGAAATTTCTTTTACGTTTTCAATCTAGCAACTATCTCAAGCCTCAAATTGCAGAGACACAGTACACCTTGGAGCTGATTTTTTTAAAACTCACAACAAAACTAAAAATCCTCTGCTAATCGCTCTTCTCTCTTCATCTTCAATCAATGACAAATTTCATTTTTTAAATATTTCTTTCCCATTTCTAATGCTATCCTGATTTTTTTCTCTAACCATCCCTTATGACAAAAGAGCTCTGGGCATTCGGTTTGTTCCTAGCTCTATGCATCCTCCATCTCTTTCACATTCTTGTCCCACTCTGAAGCCAGACCAGCTTCACAAAACACAAATCTGGCCACAGACCTCCTGCCTGGAACCCTTCCATGGTTCTCTATGGCCAAGGGCAGAGGTCAAGGCCTGTGACCTACAGCTCCTCCATACAGAGTCCTGTTCTCTTTGCATTGTCTCGTGAGTTAAACTTTGGAATATTCTGACCCTCAGCTACCCTTAGCTCTCGTTGAGTATATCTTCCAGCATGGCCAGGAGGGGTGACCCAGCAGCCAGGCTGGAGCCAGTTAGGGCAATGGCTCCTGATGGGCCTGGGCTCTCTAGTACCCAGTCCACTGCACCTAAAGGTTCCTATGGGCTGGTCACCTCTCCTTTCTGTCTCATAAGCATCTGAGCATATGACCTTCCTGAATTCAGTCTCTCTTAGATAGCTAAATTCTTGATGGCAGGACCCCACTCCCCTTGGGGTAGATCTTCCCAACTCTCACCATGACCCAGAGGTCTTAGCATTCCCAACCAGTTCTGCTCCCTACAGACCTCTTGGGTATCTGTATTTATCGTGTCTCTTTGGACTGGAGGTCTCCCACCACCACCCCTCAAATCTCTTCATGCTTGTCCTGGAGATGCAGTGCAGGGTGCTGCTCCTACACTGACCTCTGGCCTTACACTGACCTTGGGGTACTTTTAGGTACCTGCCTCCCAGATTTTCAGAGGCCTGGAAGCACTCAGATACTTGCTTTCAGCCAGATAATCCAAACTTTGAGAATCACAGACATTTGACTCAGGCTTTGGCATAGAAGCTAAAGCACCCTCCTGACTTCCTGAAGGCCCCAACTGACCTCATGTCCCTCTTCCCTTTCATAGTGTTATCGCATGGTGTTGGTCTCCTGAGATGTCAGGGATAAGCACTCAGGACCTAACAGTCCAGTCGGGTCTCCCAGGTGCCCTTCCCTGGGATTGCTCCCACATCCAGTTTTCCCGTTACTAAAGCCATCTCCCTCTGGCTGCATCTGGTCCTCCCTGGGCCCTCTAGTCCTGACCCACCTCAGAGCTTCACTGGTTTCTTAACTATGGGGCCCCATGTGTGGGCGGGCTGATTTTCTACAATCCTCCCTCATCTTGTTTTCTCCACCTCCTTCCATCTTATAAGCAGAAGGCCCACATCAAACCTTACCAGGAGCATCACCCACAAAAGATGGCTGGGGAAAGTCACAGACCCCAGGGTCAGAACATATCTTTCCAGATTTCCACTGTAGCTTGGCAGTTTCTTTATAGTCTCCACTAGAATGTTCATTTCCTCATCAACCTGTGTTCTGAAGCAATTTTCATTCCCACACACCCCTTTCTAACATGCATCCTGCTGTCCTCCCGAGAGGCACAGTGCTGTCTACTGCCTCCCCAGGAACGCGCCCCAGCCGCAGCCCTCCATCCGAATACTCTGCCGTGGACATCTCCTCTCCACCTCCATAACGTCCTTGCCCACTTGAACTGCACGTGCCCTTTCCCTTTGACCACACACTGCCTCATAAAGGCTTGCAGTTTGCTTCTCACTCCCATTGGGGGTGGGGAGTGCGGCTCAAACAATGTATACACATGTGAATAAATGTAAAAATGATACAATAAGAAAACAGAATTAAAAAAAAAAAAGAGTGGCCCCCTCTCTGCACTCACATCCTGGCAGGACACCTGAGACCCTGACTCCCACGTGAGCAATGATTTCTTAAGCTTAGGCAATGGCCTGCCAGCTGACACCCCTGCAGCACGCACCCTCTCAGCCTCCCTCCTTGTATTGCTTAGAAGGGACAGACGTGCTGCACCACCAGTGACCACTGTGCCTATCTATCACTCCATGTCCAGTGTACATGTAATTTAAATGCCCTTACCTACTTAAGTCTACTAAGGAAACAATTCTTCTTGGGACTGAGAATGTAGCTTAGTGCTTGACTAGTACGCATGAGGCCTCGGGTTTGATCCTCAGCACCGCAAGTAAAAAAAAAAAAACTGTATTAATTCAACACATCTTCCCTTTTCAACTTCTACTATTTGCTCCAGCAGGTTTTAATGATAGCAAAGTCTCTTAGTTGAAACCTTGGAATGCCGAATTAAAAGACCCACATGTGACATCAAAACCACTTCCCTAAATATGTCCTCCAGCCTCAGTTGGCTCTAGGATCACGTGTTCCTCTGTCATCTTGCTCATTTTTGCCAATGACTTCTTTCTCACATTGAATGTTCAGCAGTACAATCCCTAAGTGATGTGGCAGTGCTGGTGTCTGTCATTCCCTTTCCCATCACCCTGGGTCTTCTCTGACCAAATCACTTCTAAAGTTCCCTGGCTTTCACCCATCTCATCTTTCTTCACTCTTCCCAGACTCCACAAATACTCAGAAGTGAAGAGTCACAGCATATGCCTCCACTTTCTCTGCACTTTTGCACACTCACCTCATTCCCTGACTTTTGCTAGGCACCCACAGGACCCCCTCAAACCCTGCTTTCCCATGTCCCAACAAGCACATTCTCTGACCTCCAGCTCCTGTAATTCTTCCTCCTCCTCCACATCATAGGACAGGGTGTGGATTTTGATGTCATCAGATGAGAGGTCAATGAACTTCCCTTCAGGGTACTCCAGGCTGTCTTTGGTGGGTGACCGGTCCTCGATAAAGGTGGTCTCACAGCAATCAGCGGCCACACCATCCCCCCAGGAGCGCAGCACACCCTCTGAGTAGAGGATGATGTTAGGACGATAGTGGGACTCCACTGACTGCTGCAGGGTGTTGGGGTCCAGCAATTGCTGCACTGGCTCCTTCCTGCTGCTGTCCAGGCCGGCTGGTGTTGTGTTGCCCACCACCCGGTGACTCTGATACTGGGGTGCTGGGTAAACAGACACCAAACCATCTCTGCTCTCGGCCATGAAGTTTCTGGTGTTAATCAAACCATTTCTCTTGCCAGTGTCACTGATCTTACTGTGTACCAGCATGCTCTTCTGTTCAATGATGCCATCCATGGTAGTCTCCCTCTGCTGGGTGTCAGACTGGTGGGCTGGACTCGTAGGTCACACTTGCCTCATGGGACCCATTTCCCCTGGAGGAGAAGGAAACAGAAATTAAATGGAAATCATATTCAAAACAAGGCTCATCACCAGACCCATGCTGTTTCAGATTGTACAGTTGACTGATAGACATGGTAGCTATAGTGTAAGATAAATATGCTATCCCTACCTGGTCTGTGAATTTCTAAAAGGCTCGATCAGGGAAGACAGCCAGAGTGAGCCGGAAATTGATTGCCTGCATCTCTATGAAGCCTTTCCTTCCAAATGAAGGAAACTGCAGGAATTAGATCTATTTCAGCCCTACAGAAACCTCTGATTGTCAGTGGCCATCCTGAAACCCACGGGTGAACTCAATCACATTGGCAACCCACTTGTCCATGGGGAAATAAGATTGCAAATCTATAATGGGGATTGACTCTTCCAGGTACATGGCTATTCACTCAAACAGGAAAACATAGCCAAGGAAAAGAAGGTTTAAGCCAATGTCCCACACAGATTTAGAAGATAAATGACAGGAAAGCCCACACTGCTAGTACTGAACATTGATAAAATCCCCCACTGGGGAAATAAATGCATGTACACATGCATACATTCTTCTGTGCCTATTAGCATGAGCTCAGTACCTACACATGCCTATTGGACTTCCAGCATGGCCCAGATCTTACACTAGAAACTTCTGTGCTTTGGTTTACCTGATTTAGTAAAACATCTACATATTTGAGATTCCATTAAGAACTCCAGCAATTCCAGTCTTAAGGAAATACTTGAAGGAATGTAAGTCAGGTTACAACAAAGGCACCTGCACGCCCATGTTTATTCCAATAGTATCACAATAGCTAAGCAATGGAAACAGCCAAGATGCCCCACTAGTGATGAATTGATTGAAGAAAGGTGGTATTTATACACAATGGAATTTTATTCAGCCACAAAGGAGAATTAAATTTTGTCATCTGCAGGTAAATGGATGGAACTGGAGAGCATCATCTTAAGTGAAGTTAGCCAGGTTCAGAAGGCCAAAAGCCACATGTTTTCTCTCATATGTGGCATATAGGGCCAATAAAAATACAAGCAATGTTATGAAAAACAGGTCATGCTAAGGGGAGGTCACATACGAGAGGGGGAGGGCAAAAGAAGGAAGTTAAGTGTATACGGTTGATGTACTCTCTATACAAGAATGAATATACATTTTTTAAACTGAGTGAAACATCCACAATAAAGGACTAAGGTAGAAAGAAGAAGAATTGAGGAAATAAACCATATCAGGCTATATATAATACATATGTACACAGGAGTGCCACAAGGAAACTCCCTGTGTTGCTATCTTAAACAAGCAAAATTGTCATTTCTCCCTTTGTTTCACAAAGTCCAAGAACAGGAAAGCAGAACAGGTCCTAACTGGGGCGGGGGGGTGTTGATACCAGTGGGAGGGGGAAGGAGGTGGAGAAAAGGTATAGGAGGGTGAATTTGGTGCAAACATTGTGTCCACATGTATGTAAATGGAAAGTTGAAACTATGCCAGGAATGGGGGCGGGGGAAGGAGAATGGTGGAAAGGGTGAATTCAAGTATAATATATCTGACATATTGTAAGAACCTTTATAAATGCCACAATGTACTCCTACCCAGCACAACAAGAATAATAATAATAATAAAAACTCCAAATGATTTCCTCCTTAGATCATTTTCTTATCTAGGCTTGCAATTGTTAAACAAAATAAGGAAAGGAAAGGAGAGAAGAGGAGGGACAGGAAGGGATGAACAAGGCGGGTGGGGGAGGGCATTAGGGGAGAGGAATGGAAGGGAAGGACCCAGAGGCTGTGATTTTAGGAAAGATAAAGAATAAATTTCCTTAGTTAATGACGATTATGCATAAAAAGATGCAGTCTCTAGTGCTGTGGCTTTCTATACAATTTAAGGGTTTTCTTAATTATAACTGCTCTACTTGATGGTAGATACAATAATCTAGAATTGCTGACCAACCAAAGGAAGAAAGAGAGGACACCTTTGCTAACTGAAAAATCTGAGAGAACATATTCAAATGGCTAGCTCAGACTACAGTTTATGCATTAAGACATAATGGGTAATAGTAATATAACACTGTGTGCAATTTAAGAGAGGTCAGAAATATACCATCATCTCTACTTACATGATTTTGAAATGTCTATGTCTGAAGGCATATTTACAATCTGGGAACTAAATACATTAATCAAACTATTTGATCAAAGTCTTTTGGCTGCCTACAACACACCAAGCATAACATGCTTGAGGATTACTTCTGTGTTAGATGATCTTCCATGTTAGCAAATGGGTTTAACAGTATATTTCTGGTCCATGCACTTCCTCCTTCTACAGAGAAGTCACTGAATTGCTTTCCAAATTGGGTCCCTCATATCATTTGTGATCTGTTGGATATGCCAGCAAGTCTAGAAGAATGTTGAAGCATCTCAAACTGAGCTCCCTCCTCCAACGTCAGTTGCATATATCCTACAGAGATATGTGATTGCACTGGTTCAATTCCACCTCCTCCATTATGTTGTACACCTTGTTCAACTGGAAGTTCTGTTCACTATCTGTTGCTGCACTCACATCCTCTCTTCTTTTTTTTTTAATTTTAATAATGCCTGTTGCATCCTTCCCTGTCAATGTGACAGCATTTGAGGTTAGCATCCTTCTCCTACCCCTAACAGGAGCTCTTTGAGACCAAGAAATCAGTGGTCTCAAAGTGGTCTTTCCCTTTCTTGTACCCAGTATGTAACAGTTAATCAACGGACATATGTTGAAATAAAGTCTCCAGTTATATGATAAGAATAATCTCTATTTAATGTGATCTCCATTAGCTGTCCATATACCAAAAGTGAACCACACTGAGGCACGTGGAGGCCGGCAAGGCACAGCTTAGTCTGTTGCACACTTGCCACAGCTTACTGCTCCAAGTGCCTCTGAGACCCAGCTGCTTCAGCACCATCCAGGAACTTGTTAGAAATGCAAAAGGACTGGGGTAGGGCTCAGTGGTATAGTCCATGCCTAGTACTTATGAAATTCATCCTCAGCACCATGGAAAAAGAAAAGGAAAGAGAGAGAGAGAGAGAGAGAGAGAGAGAGAAAATAGGAGACACCCCTCTTGAATCAGCATCTGTATTTGAACATGACCCCTGTGGCTTAGTCTGCACATTAAAACTTGAGGGGCACTGTTCTATAGTGTAGAGTGCAAATGTTCCTAGTGAACAAGTTGCTTGATTTTACAGTTGATAACTTACTATCTTTTTAAAAATACCCTAATGTATACAGCAGGTTTATCCTTAATCTGAAAATGCTCCAAAGGTTGAAACTTTCAAGTGCCAAGAGACACAAGTAGAAAATTCCACACCTGACCTCATGTGAGGAATCCCTGTCAAAATGCAAGTCACTGACAATATTGTATATAATACCTCTAGGTTATATTTGCAAGGAGTATATGAAGCATAAATAAATTTTGTGTTTAGACTTAGATTATATCCCCAAGATATCTCATTATATATATGCAAATATTCTAAAATCTAAAAAAACATGAAATGTAAAACACTTCTGGTCTCAAGAATTTTATTTCTTCTAACATTTTTATTAGCATATATTAGTTGTAGATTGGGGGTTATTGTGACATTTACATATGTGCTTACAATATATCTTAATTAGATTTATTCCCTTGGTCTCAAGGATTTTAGGTAAGGGATAGTCAACATGCATATCAAGCGATTTATGTTCTTAAATAACAATGTTTTTGTTATTGAAGAGAATTTTTCTAGGATTGAGTATCATAAATTAAGTAAATAAAAAGGCTGAAGTTGGTGAACTTTTATTTTTGTTATGGCAGCATCCTTTGATATCTCTTTCAGCATGGGCCTGTCATGTGGAGTGACTTTAACTTTATGGTTGGTTCATGGATCATGGTCTGAGGCCAGCCTGGGCGAAGGTGTAAGATCCTACCTGAAAAACAAACTAAAAGCAAAAAGACGGGAGGTATGGCTCAAGGGGCTGTGAAGCCCTAAGTTCAATCCTTAGTACTACCGAAAAAATTTACACATTACCATCAGTTTTAGTCCAAACAATTGGAAAAAGGTCCTGCTTTTCACCGCCCACCCTTTTTTTATAGTGCTGGAGATGGAACCCATCGTGCATGCTAGACAAGCATGCTACCACTGAGCTACATCCCCAGCCTGAAAAGGGGGTCCTGAAGAGATACCTGTGTATCCACACTCAAAGCAGCATTATTGATAACAGTTAAAATAAGGAAGTGCCCATGTATGGATAAGCAAAATGTGACACGTACATATAACAAAATATTGTTCAGACTTTAAAAAGGAAGGAAATTCTGACACATGCTACAACATGGATGAACCGAGGACACTATGCAAAAGGAAGTAACGAACTTCAGTAGAAAAAGACAAACACTGTGAGATTCCACTTATGTGAGCTATAGATAGGAGTCCAGAACACAGAGACAGAAAGTAAAATGGAAGTTGCCAGGGGCTAAGGACAAAGAAAAATGGGGAGTTACTATTTAATGGGTATAGATTCTCAGTTTGTAAGAATGTGCACAGAGAAAACAGAGGTGATGGTTATGCAACATTAGGAATACACACGATAAGACCAAACTGGACATTTAAAAATGGATAAGAAGTTAATTTTATTCTAGGTATATATTATCACAATTTTTTAAAGGGGAAAATCAAATTAAGCTAAAATGGAGACACACACACAGAGAGAGAGAGAGAGAGAGAGAGATTACCTACTTTTTCAGAGATTCATACTAAAGTATTTAAGATGGGACTGCTTTTAAAACCATCTGGATAGAAAAGAGTGGACAGCCCACAGAGAAATTAAGACTGGCCATTGACTGACAATCACTGAAGTTGGTTGATCAGGAAATGTGGTCACCATCAACAATTCTCTCTAGTTTCATGAATGTCTGAAATTTTCTACAATAAAGACTTTTTAAAAAATCGACTGGCAAGGATGTATATAAGGTATTCCATACAGAGGGAGTAGAATTAATCA